ATTATACCCTTAACCTTTTTCAAAATTCCATTTATGTCCCTAATATGTGAAATGACTATTTTACCCTTGATCTTTTGCAAAAATTCCCACCTAGTCCTTTCTTCTTCCTTCGCTCGCTCAAGCGAGTAAACCGGTCGCTTGAGCGAGATTGAACCCGAGAGTCTCCTTTTGTTTGAAGGCTTCGTCGCTCAAGCGAGTACATCGGTCGCTTGAGCGAGTAATGACCAGAGAGTCCCCTTTGTTTGAAGCTTTCGTCGCTCAAGCGAGTACACTTGTCGCTTGAGCGAGACATGACCCTTAGTCCCCTTTGTTTGAAGCTTTCGTCGCTCAAGCGAGTACACTTGTCGCTTGAGCGAGACATGACCGTTAGTCGCTCAAGCGATGTAATTATCGCTTGAGCGATAAAGAACCCGAGAATCCCAAATTTTCCAGGTATCCTTGCTCAAGCGACATATTTTTCGCTTGAGCGAGTTTTGCAGATTTTCATCGAAATCCAAGTTTCAAATTTCTCGGTTTCAATCACTCAAATTTGTTCCAAATCAAAATTAAACCATAAATATGTTCAATTTAAGTTAAAAACAACAATTTTATTATATAATTCATCCTTAATTGAAAGAATTTCAACAATATTTCAATATTTGCAATTGATGAATAGTAATCTCCAATTACGGACTTTCGTATGAATAAAACTAAACGTCTAACCCATACCTGGCTCCTTCAAAATCTTATTATTCTCTTAATTTCTTATGCTCCCCTTTCCTCCTTTCTCTCGAATTCTTCTTCTCGAATTCGGTGCCTCTCTGTTGGATTTGTGAGTGACGAGAATTGTATGTTTTTGTGTAAGTAAGTTTTCAAATTTCTTCCTATTTATACACTTATCTTACCGACTTATAGTACTTCTCGAATTTTCTTTAATTTTATTCTCCACTAGCCTTATTTCACCGAGCTTAATTCAAAGGTTTTTATTGACTTGATCTAAAACTATGGTACTCGAATACCATTTCTCTCTTTTCGTGATTTTTTTTATATTTATTTATTCATTTATTTAATTTTATTATTATTATTAAATTATTATTTGACACAATATTAACCTTGGATTTTATTTTATAATTTTCTTAAGACAAAATTACTATAAAAATCATGTTTTATTTTTATAATAACTCTACATAATATTCGATACATATTTATAACTTACAAAATTTATTTATATAATTGATTGCAAAATTTAGGATATTACACAACTCATCCCTAGTATCATATCCAAGTAAAGTTTAAATACGATCACTTGCAAGTACTAAGTAGAAGACTTGATCGGACACCACTACGATGCTACAAGAGATACTTCATTTTAGTGGACGTACAGAATATATCTCCTCTTTAGTTAGGTTGTATAATTAGTTTGTCTAGTTAGTTTGCTTGCTCTGGTATTGTGAACCCTTGTTAGGTGTATTTTGGGATGACTTTATGTATATTTACTATCTAGTTATACTTGACACTTATGAATGATATGTATATTAATCACTAAGTGTATGTTCTAATTATTGTGTACTTTACTTCTACAAGAGTGTATTGGTAATCAAATACTAAGAGGAACCAATAATAATTAATAAATCATAATAAAGTGAATGTTGGTATTAAAGGTGTCACAGATGGTCTCCACTGCCTTTTGTTTGGCCAACCAGACATTCCTGTACGTTATAGTGTAACCCGTTGTTAATTAGATGTGGGCTATGATTGTGGAGATTGGTGTTGACGAATCAGCATCAATTATTTGACCAATTGTTTGGGAAATCATTTTATATCCCAACTTGTTGTAATCTTGGCTGATTAATGGCGAAACACATGTATGGTGCCCTTCAAGCTTCATAATCTCCCAATATTGCTCTCTTGTGCGCAATATTGCTCGACATCTCCAATTGCATTGATTATCAACATATTCAACAACATATCTACTTTGGTTTGAAATTTTCACCTTGTATGTGCAGTGATTGACAATGTGAAAGCGGTTGATGACATCTTGAACTTATTTTTTTGTTATGAAACGTTGTCCAAGAAATAGAGTTCCTACCGGAGAAACAAAAGACTCTTTGTCCAACGCATGACCATACTCTAGGTCTTGTTAAATGTGAATTTCGAAGTTAAGAAAATGTTGTGGTGGGTTGTATGGTTCCATGAAGTTTGGTGCATGTGTAGGGATATGTGGTTGTTCGTCCTCTGAATCATCTTGTTGTTGGTTGAGAATTTCATCTTTGTCTTCGTCCTCACTAAAATGATCAACGACTTCAATTGGGAGGCCAACAATTTTGTTCTCTTGTGTGGGTAGTTCTTCGTTAATGTTGGTGGAAGGCCCACTTAGAAGTTGAGTAAAAGAGATGTAGTCATTATCTGTAGGCATTTCTGGGTCAGTGTTTGGGAAAGCTTGGTAGGGTGAAAGTGAGATTTCAGGTGAGTGTGTGTTGGGGTATGAAGAAGAAGAAGTTTTAAATGTAACAAAAATTTCAATACCACATAGACTTGAGTTTGAATCATGTCGAACATGGCCTCCACATCGTCATCATCTTTCAACTCAACAACAATGAAGATGTTGATCCCAACTCCAAGTCTAGTTGGACAACCAAAATGGATGGTTGCTATATTTTCGTGGGATTCTTTCTCCAATTTCCTGTGAATCAACTTCTTAAACCTTTGTAGAGAAATTCCTCTCTTTAAAGGAACATGTTTTGCAGTCCCAATATTGAAGATAACTCCCTCCATGGGACATGGGTTCATGAAACCATTATAATAGACAATAGTAGACACTACACCCATTTTAGGAGTGTGAAACAAAAATAAGACTAAAGGTAAGAAGAAGAAATAATACAAAGAGCTTCAAAGATTTAGGAGTGTGCAATGTGAGAACTTCAAAGAATGAAAGTGGTCTATTTATAATAAAGTCCAATGGTTTGAATCCAATGCTCCCTCACATGGTTTCTGACGCACACAAAACCCAAGCAAAGTGGGTGGGTCAACATCTCTTTAAATGTGCTTGGATTCTTTTGTTTTTGTCAACCCAATGTAGGGAATCCAAGATTGGAATCCTAACTTGGGTGGGTGACTCAGCATTGAATTCCTTACTTGTGTGCATCAGAAATGCATGAGAATCCTGACTTGGGTGGGTGACTTAGTATTGTAAATAGTTGTAGGTTTCCTCGCTCAAGCGATGGGTTTCTCGCTTGAGCGAAAATTGACCACATGCTAAATGTCCAACGCAGTTAGCCACATAATGCAATTTGGGTCACCACATATTTCAATCACTTCTCGCTCAAGCGAAAGTACCAGTCGCTTGAGCGAGAATTGACCCAAGATTACCCATTTGTTACAGGTCTCCTCGCTCAAGCGAAGGATTTCTTCGTTTGAGCGAGAGAGAAATAATCGATCATAATTTTGTATATTTGATTATTTTAAAATTATGATCGATTAGCTCAAATTATAATCGATTATAAATTTCTTTGCTCAAGCGATGGATGTCTCGCTTGAACGAGAATTGACCACGGTCCAACGCAGTTACCCAATCAATTCTCGCTTGAGCGAAGTAACCCATCGCTTGAGCGAGAATTGACCACAGACTAAACGTCCAACGCAGTTAACCACATAATGCAACTTGGGTCACCACATATTTCAATCACTTCTTGCTCAAGCGAAAGTACCCGTCGCTTGAGCGAGAATTGACCTAAGATTACCCATTTGTTACAGGTCTCCTCGCTCAAGCGAAAGGTTTCTTCGCTTGAGCGAGAGAGAAATAACAGATCATAATTTTGTATATTCGATTATTTTAAAATTATGATCGATTAGTTCAAATTATAATCGATTATATATTTCTTCGCTCAAGCGATGGATGTCTCGCTTGAGCAGCAATTGACCACGGTCCAATGCAGTTACCCAATTAATTCTCGCTCGAGCGAAGTAACCCATCACTTGAGCGAGAATTGATCACATGCTAAACTTTTAATGTAGTTAGCCACATAACACAACTTGGGTCACCACATATTTCAATCACTTCTCGCTCAAGTGAAGTACCCGTTGCTTGAGCGAGAATTGACTCGAGATTACCCATTTGTTACATGTCTCCTTGTTCAAGCGAAAGGTTTCTTCACTTGAGCGAGAGTTGATTTTGCGCGAAATAATCAATCATAATATAAAATAATCGATTATTTTAATACATGAACAATAAAAAGTGCTAGTTATGTAAATAATGTTCCTGATGTATTATTTGGGAAAATATTTTTAAAAATAGTATTATTTATGAAAAAAAATGATAGAACTCGTATTCATATATAGAATTTAAATATATAATTTAAGTTTTATATTATATTGATTTGTTTTTAATATGTCGTTATTATTTTTAATTTAATCCATTGATGTAAAAAACAAAAAAAACGTTTTTATACATATAAAATTAAGAATGGATTATATGTATAATAATCAAAATTAAAATACATAAAAATATAACAGTGGTAAAATTAAAATCGGGAATGTTTACATAAGATGAATTTAATGAAGTAGTAATAAAAAAGTTGTTGAATTTTTCTTTTTTTATAAATTGTTGCAAAACAAAAGTAATAATAATAAATAAATTTTAAAAAAATATTGCATTGGTACAACGTTAAATCATTGTGACTTTTCTCGGTGTAGGCTTATCCAAATATCACAGCCCTTACCATACCCTAAATTTTCTTTCTTCAAATCGCGCGCGCTTCTCATTTCCACTTTCCTCCGACGACTACTTCGCCGGGAATTCCCGCGGCGGCGTTGCATTTCGCTGCAGCTTCTTTCTCTCTTTACTGAAACCCTAGAGAGAAAGTTCGTAAACCTTAAATTCAAAAACCCTAATTCCCCTGTCGAGTTAGTAGCACTGTCACAGCCATGTATGGCGGTGGTGAGTATCCAAACCTATTATTCATCTTCTTTTTCTCCTTCTCCTTCTTCTTCACCTTCTGAGACATGAACTCAATTTTCTTCGAATGGTTGGTTCCACAGATGAAGTATCAGCTATAGTAATTGACTTGGGTTCACACACATGTAAAGCTGGTTATGCCGGTGAAGATGCTCCCAAGGCTGTGTTTCCTTCTGTATGTATTTTCGCTTTTTTTCTTACTTTTCTGAAATTTCGTATTTGTTGTGTGTTTACTTTTTTGCTTTGTTTCACCATTTATTTTTCTATAGGCACGGTGAAGATACTTCATGTCGCTTTGTTTTTGTTTTGTTGATAGAGTATGAAATTTTGCATGCTCTATGACACTGGCATTTTTGTGTGCTGATAGGCCAATACTGCTTGATAGTGTAGTTAGGTGCATTTATAATTTGTAGTTGATTGGCAGGTATCTGAAGAATTGATGGGTAGTTTGATTGTTGATAATTAATTGGTGGTTGTATTGGTGTGTGTGAACTTAGGTTGTTGGAGCAATTGATCAAATGGATGTTGATGAAGCAGATGATGATGCCGAGAAGAACTCTGCCACGGTTGGGGAATCAAAGAATAATCTTAGAAATGTTGATTCTGACAAGGCCAAGGGAAAGAGGAAATTGTTTGTCGGATCGCAGTCCTTGGGGTACCGTAGAGACCATATGGAGGTAACCCTTAATGAATTTCTTGATTGGACTCGGATTAATAATTTTTTTTAAAAACTGTGAATAGGTGCAGTTATTTTATATTTTTTGTGTTGTCAGGTGCTGTCTCCATTTAAGGATGGAATTGTAGCTGACTGGGATATTGTTGACAGCATATGGGATCATGCCTTCAGGTCAATACTGATTTTCTAATCTGTATGAGATATGTATTTTAGGATTATTGTTTTCCTTTCTATGTTTGTTTATTTTATGCCAGATTTGGTTGGCATTTGATGTGTCATATGATTCCTTTTTGGATTAAAATCCTTGATGATTCCTCTCAAAAGCAACAGTCCGTAGAATAGTTTCTCTGTTACCCATATCTAAAGCACATAAATGCATGAGAACTTCTGGTATTCATAGTGAATGTTTGACGGCAATGAAGATTCTTTTCTAAACGTTGATGGTCCATACCATAAGTATTCAATCCTTCTCTTTCAAGTTAGGATTGGCAACACTACATGAACACAGGGATAGTTAGCAAGTGTCAAGTTGGGAGGTAAAACTTGGGGATCATATTATACCTGTGGGAAATCAAATAGTATTTTAGGAAAGAATAAATTAGGAAATTTGTAATTTATACAGATTTGAATAATTAGGAACAATCTCATAAATCAAGGGATCCTAGAGTAAAATAGAGTTATTATATTTCCTAAAATAGCTTAGGTCTCTTGTATATATATATATATATATATTGTATGATCTCTTTGTATTAAAATAATAAAATAAGATTTCATTTAATCTAATTTTTCGGATGGTATCGAGCTTCGTATCTAGGAAGTTACGTGCTGTCTGCGCACTATAAACCCTAAGACGGCAGATCTGTATTGCTGCTGCATTTTTCTTAACCTCAAGACGGCAACTTGCATTGCTGCTGCATTTTTCTTAATCCTAAGACGACAACCTACATTGCTGTTGCATTGCACTTGCATTTTTCTTAATCCTAAGACGACAACTTGCATTGCTATTGCATCGCACCTGCATTTTTCTTAATCTTAAGACGATAGCATGCATTGCTGTTGCATCACACCTTTTTTGCTATAATGTCAAGGGAAGAGGAGATAGAAAGGGTGAAAACCGTTCTTAGTAAGCTGGAAAAACCTACAGGTGTGTGTTCTTTGGCATACTCAAGTAAATTTCCACCTTCTTTTGGATTAAATGTTTCAGATACACCTTTTAACCATTATTGGATATTGGACTCTGGAGCCACAGATCACATGACACCATTAGCCAAACACTTCTCCACATATTCCCCATGTCCCAGCAACAAGTTGTCACAGTAGATGGAACCTTTATAACTGTAGCTGGTCAAGGAAATATCCAAATCAATCCTTTAATAACCTTAAAAGATGTTCTCCATGTCCCAAAGCTGTCCACGAACCTAGTGTCTATACAAAAACTTATAAAGGATTTGTCATGTAAAGTTATTTTTTTCAACGATCATTGTGTATTTCAGGACAAGGATTCGGGGAGGATGATTGGACATGCTAAAGAATGGAATGACCTTTATTATCTTGAAGATCCAAGTCTGCCCAGCGAGAATAGAATCTCTCACTCCTTCATATCTGAATCCTTGATGACCAACAGAGAAAAAATCATGCTTTATCATTGTCAGTTGGGACATCCCTCTTTTGAAGTGATCAAAATTATGTTTCCCTCTCTGTTTACCAAGTTAGATGTTGAGAGTCTTCATTGTGAGGTGTGTGAACTTGCTAAGCACAAGTGTATATCTTTTCTAATAAGTAATAGAATTAGCAATGTCCCTTTTTATCTTGTTCATACTGATGTATGGGGACCTTCTAATATTCCAAATGTGTCTGGTACTCGATGGTTTGTCACCTTTATAGATGACTGTACAAGGGTCATTTGGGTTTTCCCACTTAAACAAAAATAAGAAGTCAGTTTTGTCTTCCTAAACTTCCACTCCATGATAAAAAATTATTTTGGTGTTAATATTAAGAGGCTTAGGTCAGATAATGCCAAAGATTACTTCAATCATGTCCTTAATTCTTTTTGTCAAAAAGAAGGTATAATTCATGAGTCCTCTTGTGTCAAAACACCACAACTGAATGGGGTCGCAGAGAGGAAAAATGGGCATCTATTAAATCAGACTCGAGCATTGTTGTTCCAAAAAAGTGTCCCAAAAAATTTCTGGGAGGAAGCTGTCCTTACAGCAACATACCTTATCAATAGACTACCCTTTAGAGTCTTAGGATCAAAAAGCCCTATGGAAGCTTTGTCGTCTTTCTATCCAAACTTGTCTACTACAAAAATCTTAAACCAAGAGTTTTTGGGTGCATCTCATATGTCCATATTCATAGTACAGACAGGGGGAAACTTGATCCTAGAGCCTTAAAGTGTATTTTGTTGGTTACTCACCCACTCAAAAAGGGTATAAATGCTACCACCCCCCATCCAAAAAATTCAGTGTCTAGGGATGTTACCTTCAATGAACAAGATGACTATTTCCATCAACCTTATCTTCAGAGGGAGAGTTTTAGGGAAGATAAGGAAAGTAGTAATTCTGGTTTTCCCATTCTTCCAGACTTGACATTTGAACCTAAACGAGATCATATTGAAAATAGTAATTCTGGTTTTCCCATTCTTCCAGACTTGATATTTGAACCTAAACGAGATCAAATTGAAGTTGTAACAAATGAAACAAGTCAAGGAATTGGTCAAGAAAAGGAAGTTGGTCAAAAAAGTGAAATTAATTGGGAAGCTGATCAAGAAGATGTTGAAGCTGAAAAATTTGGTAAGAAGTTGGTGTACTCAAGGAAGACTAAGGCCATTCTAGGATCAAGCCATGTTCAAGAATCCAACTCGACTCCACAAAAAGAGATAACAATTTTTTCTTCAGCTGTGCAGGTTGAAATTGAAACCCAAAATGATTCTGACCTCCCAATTGCCATTAGAAAAGGGACAAGAAAACGCACCAAACAACCACTCTACCCTCTCTCAAATTACTTGTCCTTTAAAAATTTCTCTCCTACCCATAAAACCTTCCTAGTAAACCGAAACACTATACTTCTAGCTAATACCCTATCTGAGGCATTGTCTGACAGAAAATGGAGGCAAGCCATGGATGTAGAGATGGAGGCATTGGAGAAGAACAACACCTGGGAGTTAGTCACCTTACCAATAGGAAAGAGGCCAGTTGGATGTAAGTGGGTCTATACATGGAAATACAAGGTTGATGGATCAATTGAGAGATATAAGGCAAGACTAATTGCCAAAGGGTTCACCCAAACCTATGGAGTTGACTATTTGGAGACCTTTGCTCCGGTTGCCAAAATGAACACAGTTAGGATGATATTGTCCCTTGCTGCCAATTATGGTTGGAACTTGGAACAATTTGATGTTAAGAATGCTTTCCTACATGGAGACCTTGAAGAAGAAATTTATATGGAGATACCTCTGGGATATGGTAAAGATATTGTTGTCAACACTGTTTGCAAGTTGGAAAAGACATTATATGGGCTAAAACGATCCTCCCGTGCATGGTTTGGCAGGTTTACTAAAGTTATGATAGGTCTGGGTTACAAACAAAGCCAAGGGGATCATACTTTGTTCTTTAAACATTCCAAGTCAGGGGGAGTAACAATATTATTGGTGTATGTGGATGACATAATATTAACTGGAGATAATAGAGAAGAGCAACAATTGTTGAGCCAATGCTTAGGCAAGGAATTTGAGATCAAGACCTTGGGAAAACTAAAATATTTTTTAGGAATCGAAGTTGCCCACTCCAAGAAAGGGATATTTATATCCCAGTAGAAATACATCACTGATTTGCTCAAGGAAACTGGCAAGACAGCTTGCAAACCTACTAGTACCCCATTAGAACCAAACCTAAAGCTTGAAAATGCAGAAGAAGATGTTGCTGTTGAAAAAGATATGTATCAGAGATTAGTGGGCAGACTTATATATTTGTCGCATACCAGACCAGATATTGCCTATGCAGTGAGTTTAATTAGTCAATTTATGCATAACCCAAAGGAGACTCATTTACAAGCAGCCCACAGAATTTTACAGTATCTTAAAGGAATTCCAGGAAGAGGAATTCTATTTAAAAGGAATGGTAATGTGAAGCTTGAAGCCTATACTGATGCTAATTATGCAGGGTCAATTGTGGATAGGAGGTCAACTACATGATATTGCACCTTTCTTGGAGGAAATCTTGTGACTTGGAGAAGCAAAAAGCAGGGTGTAGTGGCTCGGTCCAGTGCTGAAGCAGAATTCCGAGCCATGGCACAAGGTATGTGTGAGTTGCTATGGCTTAAAATCATCTTAGAAGATTTGAGGATAAAATGGGAAGAACCTATGAAGCTCTATTGTGATAATAAGTCAGCAATCAACATAGCCCACAACCCAGTGCAACATGATAGAACAAAGCATATTGAAGTAGACAGACACTTCATCAAAGAAAAGCTTGATAGTGGCTTAATATGCACTCCATATGTGTCCTCTCAAGACCAAATTGCAGACATTTTTATCAAGGGACTGAGCTGCCACAATTTTGAGAAGATTGTATCCAAGCTGGGAATGGAAAACACCTATTCACCAGCTTGAGGGGGAGTGTGGGAAATCAAATAGTATTTTAGGAAAGAATAAATTAGGAAATTTGTAATCTATACAGATTTGAATAATTAGGAACAATCCCATAAATCAAGGGATCCTAGAGTAAAATAGAGTTATTATATTTCCTAAAATAGCTTAGGTCTCTTGTATATATATATATATATATATATATATATATATATATTGTATGATCTCTTTGTATTAAAATAATAAAATAAGATTTCATTTAATCTAATTTTCCATAATACCACATGTTGCACATGTTAGGTATCTTGGAGGGGAATAACGGGGGATGAGTGCATATGAATCAAACTGAGTGAAGTAAACATATACATAATTTAAGGTCACAATCAAACTAAAAGAGGAAATTCCAGCTAATAGATATATGATCAGTGATGCTTTATTTGGCATTGAATGCTGGACAGCAAAGTGTTGAAACGAGAATCTATAGCAGAGATGTTAATGTTGAGATGGAGTGATTTGGCCATGTGAGAAGGTCAACAAAGGCTCAGGCAAGAAAACTGAATCAAATTTAAGATAGTACAATAAGAAGGGTAGAGGAACCATTGAAAATACCATATACTAAAATGGAGTTGCTGAAAACTTTGTTTTTAATGTAGCTCTATCTATTATTGTTTGAACCATGTAACCAATGGGCATATTTGGATGGGATTATTCTTGAATATCAGAATCTGATTGATAGAAAGAAGATGCGTTTGCTACTAAGGCATTATATTCTTGTTGTTAGTTCTTTCCCTAGTTTGGTTTTGACAATTTTTTGCATTTTTTATTTTTATCATCATATATCTCGTATCATATATCTTAGGAATTGTTTTATTTGTCACTGGCCACACATTCTTTTTTTCGGTAGAGAATTCCTATTGATAGGGCATGCTTTCTGTTTTTGGTAGGGAGTGCCTATTGATTGATCCTAAAGAGCATCCTATGCTCCTGGCAGAGCCTTCTTCAAACTCTCAACAACAGAGGGAAAGGTATTCTGGTTATAATTTATTATCTAGAGTCAAGAGCTCAGCTTAAAGTTTCAGTATGCCTAATTCAATTTTTTTATTATTGCAGGACAGCAGAGCTTATGTTTGAGAAGTACAAAGCACCTGCATTGTTTTTGGCGAAGAATGCTGTTAGTTCTTAACTGACCTATACTTAAAATAGTATATGTTATGGAGTGAGAATGAAAAGCTACTGAAAGTTTATTCCCTGTGTTCACTTGCAGGTTCTGACTTCTTTTGCATCGGGGCGTGCTACGTCATTAGTTGTTGATGGGTAAGAGATCAGCAGGTTACTCAATGCTAGTTTTCTTCTTATTCTTTGGTAGTATCAAATTGAAGGATGGCCTTTTTCTTCACTTCCGGATAACAATTGTTTACCTTTCAAATTATTATACTTGGAAGGCCTAAGTTGTAGCTGTCCTTGTCTTGTTTAACTATACCTTACATGGCTTGCTTTTACCATGTTTCGTAAAAGAAAAATAGGAATTTGGAATTAGAGACAAATAATGGAGCTTGATAGAGAACAACAAAGAGTCGGTACCATAAATCCAGGAGAGAACTAAACTCTTTGTTTTCCTGCTCGACTGTATTAAAATAATAATTTATGTTTGGTAATAAGAAATGTGACATTGCCAATGTTCTATTCCAAAATGTGGAATGGGTTAGCAGCATATTGGAGACATAGTTGGATGCTGAATTAAAATTCCTACAATTTGAGTCAAAGCAACGCATTGGCTTAACCAAATTAAAACAAATTTAAGCATACGAGATTGAGAATTCAACTGAGAAAATTGAAAAGGGGGGAGAGAAATAGTACAAATTTTAAAGTTCAATAATCTATATTTATTATTACTTCTAATGTGTCACAATAACTTGGCACAAGCATAATGTTTTCTTCATTATTCCATTGTTTTCAGCGGTGGAGGGTCAACTACAGTTGCACCGGTACTTGATGGTTATGTTCTTCAGAAGGTATTCCTTATTAATGAATCCGATAAAATTGAATTGTCTGCCATGTGACTGGTTGATCCATAGTTTGATTGAAATTTCAATATTTAGTTTCCATATCTAATTTGTTAAATTTGACTTTGATATTGTTATAGGAACCTGCATTAATCCAATATACCATCTGCACCACTCTAAAGAAAGGTTTTAAGGCTTAAAGGATGAAGTGGGTAATAGATAAATGTATGAATAGATTTTTTGATTAGATTATTTAATTAACAATGGGAAATCAAATGTATGAAAGGAAATCTTGAAAATTAAACTAGTGGTTCAGTGTTCTGATTATGTAATTGCTATTTTTTGGTGTTTAGTAACGAATAAATTTTTGGTGATGTAGCCAAATGCAACGAGCAATTATATATTGGCCATAGTCTCTATATTATTACTCAGTCATTAGATTATGTTTACAAAACCACAACCAATATCAAAATTTTAAGTGAGAATGGCTATGCATATGTGAGGCACTATTGCTTGCCTAGGTATTTTACGAACACAAATTTTTCTTGTATCTTCTTGCATTCATAATGTCTGTCATTCTGTTATATGTGTGCCACGTAGACACACAAACATGTCAACTTAATAATTTAAGATTTCATTGTTCTCAGCATTTACGTTTGAGAGTTGGCTAATACTGTGGGTCTTTCTGTCTGCTATATCTTCTACTTCGTTTACAACATAAGGCTGTGGCAACCTCTCCAATTGGAGGAGAATTTCTTACAGATTGCTTGATGAAAAGCTTGGAAAGCAAGGGTATTACGGTGGGTGACAAACATTATTTATTACATTTGTCAATTATTGTCTGAAATAAAGATGCTTTAATTTTATCTGCCTGAGATTTCCCCCATTTTGGCTTATCACTCACAGATGAAACCACGTTATTCCTTTAGGAGAAAGGAAATACGCCCTGGAGAGTTTCAGGTATAATGTGTTTTCATTGAAATGACCTCCGAGTAACTTTTTTCTTATTCCATTTGCTTGCTATCATTAAAGTGTGAGACATCCAGATTTGCATATGTTTTCTTTATAATTTGAACTTGGGCAAGATGAGTTCCATCCCTTGTGTCTTATATGTACTGTTTGTGGCTCAAGGACTTCTGGATGGTTGCAATACATTGTTTTTCTTGTCTCTTTTAATTGAATGTTCTTCATCTGTTTTCATTTACTGATGAAATTCGATAAAATTTGCATGTGCCAGTATATTGCTGCTAGTTACATGAGCTGAATAATTTTTCTGGTTTAATCTACTAGAATTAGGACATGTAGTAAATGTTTGTGCAATTTAGCAAATTTTTAAACTTCAGGTATAAAAGAGGGAATGCGTTAGCCTTTTAGATATATAATTAAGGATCAGAACAACAAAGAAAGAATTGATTGTAGTTATCTTACTTACTTTGTTTATTTCAATTTCATTATAACTTTCCTCTGTTGTTACTTCATCTAACATTTAAAAGAACATGTAGAATTTTGGGGGCAAATGATAGTGTGCTTTCTTTATTAGTAGCACCAAAATTTGCTTTTTTGCACGTTCCTTTTTATATGATTTCAACTGCAATTCTATGCATAAATGATTATTATTTCTCACTATAGTTCTTTTATATTCTGTACCCTGCAGACAGTAGATCTTGATTTTCCAAATACAACTGAAAGCTATAAACTATATTCACAGGTCTGTGCATGTTTATGTAATATCTCATTACTTTTTTGCATTTCCTTTATCTGATGTATGTTCTCCCATGACAGAGGGTGATTGCTAGTGATATCAAGGAATGTGTGTGCCGAGCTCCGGATACACCTTATGATGGTTCGTTTTACTTCCCATGGTCACCTCATATAATGTTTTGATTATTACTTGAACAAGTGATTTTGTTTGAATCTTATTGGTCCTGTGTTTTATTTTATTTTATTTCTTTGAAGGCATGTGGAAAGGTTCCTAGTCTTTATGGTGGCATTATTTTATTTGTTTTGTCCTTTTCTCCCTCTGTACGCCTAACTTGATATGTAATTTGTTCAACTTGATCTCTGAGCTTTCATTTAGGCCGTGCCATATATGATGTTTCTTCAATCATCTGGTTTAATCATAAACTTGTACCAGTTCAGTTAGTCCTTTATAGCTCTAGAAGATGTTACCTTGGTTCCAATAGATTTGCAGTTTCTGTACATTAAAAACTATATTTTTCCTTTTATTTGACAGAGAGTGCATATTCAAACATCCCAATGACCTCATATGAGCTTCCTGATGGCCAGTAAGTCAGTGTTATTCTTGTTCATTGAAACATGGATGAGGATGGAATGAATGATGTTTCATCTTCAAAATATCTTCATTGATTTGATGTGCTACTATTTGTATTTCATAGCCTAATTGTTGCTTCTAGTTTTTTGTGTACTTTATTATCTATTGTTGTTTATGATGTGTTTACTTCTATTATACAGGACCATTGAAATTGGAGCTGACAGATTTAAGATTCCAGATGTTCTTTTCAATCCGATCGTGGTTCAGGTGTGTGGCTTGCATGCAAATATTGTTCATTTAATATACAACATTTATGATATTTCATGTTCTTAGAAATATGGCAAGGCTTCTTGCAAGGTAGTTAAAGGAAAAAACCTAAAATGTACTGAGGACTTGAAGCGCCTAGAGGTGAGGTGCCAAACAAGATACCTCACTGAAGATTGTTATTAATAATTAAGACTGTAAAATAAAATGTCTTGCGGTACCACATCAGTGTTCCGCCATTTTAATACAGTGAACTGAAGGGGAAGAAGAAATATAAATTTTATCATTCAAGAATTTTTGGTTAAAAAATTATAAAATTTAGTTATGTTAATTATAAACAAAAAGCTGTTAAATACATGAAGGTTATGAATTGAACAAAAAGCATATAGTATATAAGTATATATAATAAAAACTAAAAATCTATTGAAGGGTTTCAATGACAACACAACAGACAATGCAGCAAGTACATGGAAAACAACACCAGTAAGAAAATAAAAACAAAGCAGACTAATATAACTGCAAAACGTGGCATGGAATTAAAATTTGAAAACAAATTCAGAAGAAAACCAAATAAACCTGACAGATGGAGTGGTGGTGGTTGGATGTTGTATACAATAGGAATGATTAAAATGGCATTCAGTGTAGCAAACATAATAAATTCAGTGGTATTAAATTATCATGGAAAGTTCCAAATCTTCTGAAGAGTAGAGGAAAAATAGAAAAAATGAAAGTATTTGTTTGATTTGGCAGGCAGATTTTTTAAACCACCATTTTACATGAGTTCTATTTTGTTGTATTTGGAAAAAGCTCTTGTAAAGTGAATTTGTCTTTTAAGTGCACAAAGCTGCCTTCACCTTTACATTTTAGTGGATATGGTAATGATGTAGTGGGTAGATACACTCACTTTATTGGAGTCTTCCGTTGTATTTTTCTGAAAGCTGACAATTTTTATGGACTGGGGTTGTTCAAGGTCACGGCCCAAGTCAGGTTCTTGTACGGAACACCTCTGCAATAAGTGGAGGAGGGAAAAGTGTGCACTGCAAAGAGAAAAAAGCACTGGACTCTTACCCATGGTGCCTTTTATTTTATGCTTTAACTACACTAGGCAATCCAGATTATAGGGATTACATAGCTCAAATTTACTGTTACCAGGTCGGGATTTGGTTTGGAATAAGTATCTTGGTTGTCAAATAACGATTTGAATTGTATGAAAGACATATTTTTGGAATTGTTAATCTAAATGTATGATAACATTGATGAGTAATAGGATTATTGATCAATAACTTACATCATCATAATGCTTCTGCGCATATTAAAAAATTCAAATAACTCAGTATATAGCTTCAATCTGCAATATAAACATCAAAATAAATCATGCTTCAAGCCATATTAATTTTGAAAAAGAAATAATTCAAGCAGATCACAATGTCTGCAAACAGTTTTAACTTTTTCAAAGCAATATTCTCCATTTCTTCTCCTTGTGCCATGTTGAAATTTTCTGGCTGGTGGTCATTTATATTGCACAATCTGTCTGGTTCATTTTATGTTGTACTTCTATTTTGATCTGCATTTCTTTAACATATTGCTGTTCTGTTTTGTTCACTAATTTTCTTATTGTGTCGATGATAATTACAGTCAATTCCTGGAATGGAGAGCTTTGCAGAAATTGCTCCTTCAGTTCGAGGCCTGCCTCAAATGGTAATTCATTAAACTTAATGTGTATTTGTTTGAAGTATATGACTTTCTTTTACTTATTGTTTACCATTTTGCAGGTCATTGAAAGCATTAACAAGTGTGATGTAGACATTCGAAGAGAGTTGTTTAGTAGTATACTGGTAAAGTTGATATATTTTTTCCTTCTTTTTCTTTTACTCTGCGTGTGTGTGCACTCACGCACCCTCAAATAGTTCTTATTTAGTTTGCCAAGTTCACTTTTGGTATAAGAGGGAAAAGATACAGGGGCATTCCTTTTTATGGAGAGCTTTGCAGTTATTTTGTGATTGGCTAGCAGGCGAGGGGGTGGAAGTGTTGCCAAAGTTGTGGTTTCATAAAATTAAATGAATCAGAAGTTAATGATTTATCTTGATTGGAATTTTATGAGTTGTATTTTTAGTCAAATGACCTTTTACCCAGAACTTTAACTAACAAATATTTGCTAAAACCATATGACTTACATATTTACCATGTATAGTCTACGATCACTTGATATATTCTGAAGCATTTCATATGAATATATCATTATGTATCTTGGTAAATTAAAATTGATTTCATTTGTCACATGCAGCTTGCTGGTGGTACAGCTTCAATGCAACAACTAAAGGAACGCCTTGAGAAAGACTTGCTAGAGGTATATATTTTAATAAATGAGCCCTTGTCCATTTTGTTCACTGAATGTACGGCTTTTAAGCAAGGGCTTGTGAATCTGTCTATATAAATTCTATAATTTGTTGGCAAAAGTTATTGTCGTTGCATTTTTTGTAGTTTAGAATTAAATATATTTGACATCTCAAGAAGGCTTTTGGAGGATTTTTTTACTGCCTTTTAAAAAAGTTTCAGCTTCTTATTACTTCCAAATATAATTTTGAAGGAAAATCTGTACTTTTGGTTTCCTTTGGGGTCGATCATCAATGGAACATGCATTTGCAAGGCATTGGAAAGATTTTTTGTGCTAATATATATATTTTTTTCTTTGCTTGCCTTTGGGACGAAATTGAGGATGACCTTATAAGTTAATTTTCTAGCAAATATATTAGGAACCAATAATTGAAAAGAGAAAGAAAAGAATGATTTTTATTGAATACGATGAAAAGCACAAGAAATAGAATAGCAATCATTACTCATAGGGTTTCCCTTCCCCTTCACAGAGGATTTCTCCTTTCATTAAAAAACCATGCTCAATCTACAAATGAACATATATCCCTCTCTCTTATCCTTCTTCCCCTATTTATATATGGCTAACACCTCATTAACTAGCTAACTAACAAACTTAATGATAATCTAAATATCTAAACTAACTTCTCCTTCTCCTTCTCCTTATATCTTGACAGAATGACATTAGCAATAAAGAAAATTAAGATAATTGTAAAGTACAACTGTAGTCTGTAAGATTGTGCTCAAAATGTACTATAAACCTTTAGCCAAAGCTTCTGCAGGCTGGCACTTCTAATAAAGGAAGATTGATAGATAACATTTATTAAAACTTTTTGAAGTCATATTGAGTTTATAATATTATAGAAATAAACACATCGGTTCCATTTGAATTAATTCATCAGGTCGTATGTGCTTGTCATTGTTTTTCATGAAGCTGGAACAATTATTTGTATAGTAAGAATTGACTACAATTTCATTTCTATTGCAGGAGTCCCCTCAAGCTGCCAGAGTAAAAGTATTGGCCAGTGGGAATGCTACTGAAAGAAGATTTAGGTGTGTTATCTATCTTGCGTCAGTGCACTTACTAATGATGTCATTATCATTTTTGGGGTTTTACTTTTCTTTCGTGTTATTTCCTGCAAAGGACAAATCTGGTTTGTTACAAGTTCAACATTTTTCTCTCTTTACATGGTTAATTCTAGGCCTTCAAAATTGCATGTTACCAGTATATGAAGCCGCTAGGTTTTCATTTGACTAAATTTCCTAACCTATTTCATAATTTTTTTTTAATTCTTTAGCACTGAATATAAACAATTCACGAGAACTTTTATTTGTCTGTATGTCTATTAGTCACTTTCAATATTTTAAATATGGCTCTCAATTCAATTCCTAACCAGTTTAATAAGATCCGTAATATGATTTAGGCCTTTCAAACAGAAAACCCAAGAAACTTGTCTAATTAATTTAATTTCTCTCTGTTGTATCAATTTATAACTAAAAACTCTGATTTGGCTACTCATGCCTGTTTTCTCGGGTCTTTAGTATGGTTTATTGAACTTGAAATTTCTGTAAGCTACACACCTAAGAACTTTGTCATTCTGAAACCACCATTCGGGCTGAAGCAAGAAAATGCATCAAATATCAAACGGATTGGAGATCATGTCAGAAAAATATGTGCGATGCTGACGACACTCAAATAGAAGGGAAACAATTTAGGGTTAGGTTTTAAGAGTTGATTTGATTAGAAATAGAAAACAGAAAAACATAAAAGATACCGTAGGCGCCACAAATAAGAATATTTGATAAGCCAAGAAGGATCGTCACAAGAATCGAATAATTCTTGATAAGATCAAGTGATGCAAGGAAGAACCCTAGCAGAGCAACAACTCACAAAGTAATATGAATATTCCGTCCGTTCATTCTGAATTCCCAAATGTTTAATACAAGTTAAGTTTATGAGTTTGTCTCATTGCAGGAAATAAAGATAAATTAAAATCCTAATATCCCAAGCAAAGTTAAGTTACCCAAATGGTTCAGTGAAGACATTATAAGCTTTGGGTCTTGGGTTCAAATCCCCACTATAGCAAATAAAATAATAATAATAATAAAAACTAAATCTTTTAGTTGGGCCTCCTAGCTCTCCAAACATTCTATGCATGTGATAGGTCTAGACTCCTCCATGTTTGGATCTTTTAATAGTTGGACCTTTAGCAAATTGGTCACTTTGTATTGCAATGCCTAGAAAAGTCTGCCTCTTGTCATAGGTCCACCTAAGTCTTGGATTGGATCTTGGTCTTGATCCTTCTCGTTATGGGCTTGGGCCTTTATGTCCACATCATTCCCTCCTTCTTGGGCAGCATTTGTCCTCAAATCTATGAATTCATCTCCTGCATCAAAAGGAGTCAAGTTAGCAACATTAAAAGAAGAACTTACATTATACTCTTCTGGTAGATCAATCTTATAAGCATTATCATTGATCTTCTCTAAGACTTGGAATGACCCATCTCCTCTAGGTTGAAGTTTAGACTTTCTTTGTTCAGGAAACCTTTCCCTTCTCATGTGTACCCAAACCCAATCACCAGGTTGGAACACCACCTTTTTCCTACCCTTGTTAGCTTGCCTCGCGTAGCTCTCATTCTTCTTTTCAATTTGAGCTTTTACTTGCTCATGTAGCTTCTTCACATATTCTGCTTTAGCCTGTGCTTCCTTATGCTTAAACATAGAAATGTTAGGCAAATGCAACAAATCAAGAGGAGTCAAATGATTAAATCCATACACAATCTCAAATGGTGAATAATTAGTGGTGCTATGGATAACCCTATTATAAGCAAACTCAACATGAGGTAAACATGCTTCCCAAGTCTTAAGATTTTTCTTTAAAATAGTCCTAAGCAATGTGTCTAAAGTCCTGTTGACTACCTCAGTTTGACCATCAGTTTGTGGGTGACAAGTAGTAGAAAACAATAATTTAGTACCAATCTTACCCCACAAGGTTCTCCAAAAGTGACTAAGGAATTTTGAATCCCTATAACTCACAATGCTCCTCGGCAGCCCATGTAGCCTTACTACTTCCTTGAAAAACAAATCAGCCACATGACAAGCATCATCTACCTTCTTGCAAGGTATGAAATGTGTCATCTTAGAAAACCTATCAACAACAACAAACACAGAATCCTTTCCATTCTTTGTTTTAGGCAGCCCTAAAATAAAGTCCATAGAAATGTCAGTCCACGGATATTCAGGAACAGGTAAAGGAGTATACAACCCATGAGGCTTAACCTTAGATTTAGCCTTTTTACACACAATGCAGTGATCACAAAACTTATTCACATCACGTTTCATATGAGGCCAAAAGAAATGCTCTTGCAAAATTTCTAAAGTCTTTTGAACCCCAAAATGACCCATCAAACCCCCTTCATGTGATTCACTCACAAGCAACTCTCTAATGGAACACTTAGGCACACACAATTTATTTGCTTTAAACAAGAATCCATTATGCCTAAAGTAACCATTTTTAGAAAACCTTTCACATGCGAGCAAAAGTTTCAACAAAATCCACATCATTCACATACATGTCTTTCAAAGATTCAAGACCAAACAATTTAGTTTCAAGCATAGAAAGTAATGCATATCTCCTAAAAAGTGCATCAGCTACTACATTCCCTTTTCCCTTTTTATGCTTGATGACATATGGAAATTGCTCCAAGAACTCAACCCATTTGACATGCCTCTTGTTTAACTTACCTTGTCCCTTTAAGTATTTCAAAGATTCATGATCACTATGAATTACAAACTCTTTTGGTAAAAGGTAATGCTGCCAAGTTTGTAAAGCACGCACTAAGACATACAATTCCTTATCATAGGTGGGATAGTTTAGGGCACCCCCATTCAACTTCTCACTAAAATAAGCAATTGGATGACCTTCTTGTAGCAAAACAGCCCCAATACCCACATTAGATGCATCACATTCAATTTCAAAAGATTTTGCAAAATTTGGTAATGCAAGGAGGGGGCATTAGATAGTTTGTGCTTAAGTTCAAAAAATGCCTTTTCTTGTTTTTCACCCCATTTAAACCCAACATGCTTTTTGACTATTTCATTAAGAGGAGCAGCCAAAGTACAAAAGTCTTTAACAAACCTTCTATAGAAACTAGCTAACCCATGAAAACTTCTCACTTCACTCACATTCTTAGGGGTAGGCCACTCTTGGATGACTCTAATCTTTTCCTCATCAACTTGTACCCCTTTAGAACTCACAACAAATCCCAAGAACACAACATGATCAGTGCAAAATGTACATTTTTCAAGATTAGCAAACAATTTTTCTTTTCTAAGCACATTCATGACAGCATGCAAATGTTCAACATGCAAATCAAAATTAGTGCTATATATCAGAATATCATCAAAATACACCACTACACATTTGCCTAAAAACTCTTTCAAGACATGATTCATCAATCTCATAAAAGTGCTTGGAGCATTAGTTAACCCAAAGGGCATAACTAGCCATTCATACAACCCATATTTAGTTTTAAAAGCTGTTTTCCACTCATCTCCTTCTCTAATTCTAATTTGATGATATCCACTTTTCAAGTCAATTTTACAGAAGATACAAGCACCATACAATTCATCCAACAAGTCATCTAACCTAGGAATGGGATGTCTATACTTTACCGTGATGTTATTGATAGCTCTACAATCTGTGCACATCCTCCAAGTTCCATCCTTCTTAGGGACTAGAATGACTGGGACTGCACATGGACTCAAGCTTTCTTTAACCCACCCCTTTTGCATTAAGTTTTCAACTTGCTTTTGAATCTCCTTGATTTCTTGGGGATTGCTTCGATAGGCTGGTCTATTAGGCAATGAAGCTCCTGGAATAAGGTCAATTTGATGTTCAATACCCCTAAGAGGGGGTAGACCTATAGACACTTCTTTGGGAAAAACATCTTCAAAATCCTGCAACAAAGAAGAAACCTCTTTTGGAAGAGAGTTAGTAAAACATGGACTGTTTGATTTACTTTCTTTACTCAAAAGTAAAAGTATTGACTTTCTCAATTGCATAGCTCTTTTGACTTCTTTTTCTTTTATAAACAGATTTGATTTTTTTTTTCTCTCTCTTTTTCTTCCTCTTTTTCCTTTTTCTTTTCACTCTCTTTTCTTTTCTCTTTTCTCTCTCTTTTTCTTTTCTTTCTTCTTTTCTTTTCTTTCTCATTTTTAGTTGATCCTCACTAACTTCTCTTGGAACCAAAGGTGCAAGAGTAGTTTTGCGGTCTTTATGCATAAAAGAGAACTTATTAGTGAAACCATCATGCATAACTCTCCTATCATACTGTCATGGTCTCCCAAGAAGTAAATGACAAGCCTCCATAGGCACCACATCACACAAAACAGAATCTTCATATTTCCCTATGGAAAAACCCACTTCAACTTGCCTATTCACGGTCATCTCACCATCTTCACTAAGCCATTGAAGTTTGTAAGGTCGCGGGTGTGGCTTAGTCTCCAAATTCATTTTTGAAACCAACCGTGCACTAGCCACATTAGTGCAACTCCCACCATCAATGATCAAAGAGCACAACTTCCCTTGAATGAGGCACCTTGCATGAAAAATATTTTCTCTTTGACAATCATCCAATTCAACTGATTGACTATCCAACATCCTTCTAATCATGAACAAATCTCCTTCTAACTCTCTTTCATCTTCATGCTCATTTTCATCACCAGATGAAGAATCTGAAGAAGATTCACTAATTATTTCTCCATCCTCCTTAAGTAACATAGTCTTCTTAGTGGGACATTGAGAAGCTATGTGACCTCTTCCCAAACATTTGAAGCACTTAACCTCACTACTTGTTTTCTTAAGTGCCTCATCAGACTTATTTTGATTTCTATAAGCTATAACATTGGAATTGCTTGTTGATGATCCTCCCTCCTTCTTATTTTTGTCCTTCCAACTAGGAGTGTGAAAATTAGATGAACTCCTCCTCATGACACCCTTTCTCTTTAATTGTTGTTCCACCTTTGAAGCTTGATGTACTAAATCCTCCAACTCAACATAATTTTGCAGCTCCACAACATCCCTTATATCACTATTTAGCCCATGTAGGAATCGGGCCATAGTAGCCTCCCGTGCCTCCATAACATTAGCCCTAATCATGGAAACCTTCATCTCTTTGTAATATTCATCAACACCTCTACTACCTTGTATGAGTCTTTGGAGCTTGTTGTGAAGATCTCTTTGATAATGAGAAGGAACAAATCTTCTTCTCATCAACCTCTTCATTTCTTCCCAACTTTCCACCAAGGGTTCTTCATATCTCACCCTTTCCCTTTGTAATTGGTTCCACCAAATGAGAGCATAATCAGTGAATTCCATGGCTGCCACCCTCATCTTTTTATCTTCTGTGTAATTATGGCATGCAAATAGTTGCTCAATTTTTATTTCCCACTCCAAATATGCTTCTGGATCACTCTTTCCTTGAAAAGGGGGTATGTTCAGCTTTACTCCTTCAATTCTGTTATCTCTAACATCACCTTCATTATTTCTCCTTCTCCTCCTTCTACCTCCATCATCATCATCATCATTTCCTTGATTTTCTAGTTGTTCAATTCTCCCATACAACTCCTCGGTATGTTCTGTCAACATTCTTTGCATTTGGGCTATAATGGTATCAATCAATAATCTATTGTCATCCCCTAGAGGAGGGGTACCACCACCACCACCTGTACCTGCCATCTTTCAAGTAAAAAAAAAGAAAGGACCAAACAAATGAAGTAATAGGACCTCACCACTCTTCTCACATGTTTGCACTCAAAGATGTACCACTCGTGTTTACTCTCAATTTGACTTTTGTATAATATGCACTCTTGCCTTTTTCCACTCGTTCTCTAACTTATGGTTCTTACAAGAATCAAACAATCTATAGTTCAAGAATCACTTTCTGTGAAGCACCGACACGGCTCCCCTCATCCGTGTCGGAGTGTCGCGGATGTTTGCGACACCGACACCGCCACGACACCTCGCGGAAGCGTGTCCGACTCTTTTTTGCAGTGTCCCCTGCACCAAAAATGTGTCGCGAGGCTGCGATTCATGTGGACACGGCGTGCCCTAATTCCGATGCGGTGTCAGACACGGCTCCGACTCGGGAACAGGTTTTATAAAAAAAAATTGAATTTTTTCTATTTACTTTTATTTTCACGTATCCTTCCTTTCTTCCTTCCTCTGCACGTATCCTTCCTTTCTTCCTTCCTTCCTCTGCACCTTTCCATTTCTGCTCCAAAGCTTTCCTTTCATCCAAAAAAGCTTTCTTTTTTTTCTTCCAGTTTTCCTCTGCTGTGTGCTACTGTGCAGTTAATCCGAGAGCACAAACCACACAACGCTCTCTGCCCAATGAACTCCGAAATAACGAAGTAGTTGAAGAGCCACTATTAGCAATGTTGGCAGGGAAAGAGTGGAGGCGAGAAAGACAATGTTGGCAGGGAAACAAATGAAGAGCCAGAAGATGAAATTCCAACCCATTTACAGAGAGGGAGGAATATAGGGTTTGTGAAAGAGAAAAGGGTAGAGATGTCTAATATTGTGAAATAGTAGTTCTTAGTATTTTTTGGTTAGGATATCATATGAAAATTGTAAAGTCTAACAACTTTGTCTTGAGAAGATGAATGAACAAATCTTAATTTTTAATTTATATATTTCTCATTTGAATCATATTTCAATTTTTATTCATGTCTAATATATATAAGGTGTCCCAGTGTCCTATATTTTAGAAGTTTGCCGTGTCCGCGTGTCCGTGTCGTGTCGTGTCTCAGTGTCCGTGTCGGAGTCGGTGCTTCATAGATCACTTTCAACTGTAGCAATCACAAGGAATAAAACAGAATTATAGTACCAAGAAAGGACAAGTAGCAAAGAACAATTTTACTACTAACAACAAGCAAGACAAATCTAAACTGTATAGAAAAAACAAAGATTAGACAAAGACACTTGACACTTGACACTTAGGAATTTTATCAAACAGCTAATGTGCATCTGAAATTTAAAAAAAGAACAAGCTGCCACATATATATATATATACTTTTTTTTTCTCGATTCTTTTCTTCTTTTGATTCTTTTTCTTTTTTGATTCTTTTCTTTTTTTTTTTATTCTTTTCCTTTTTGGTTTCTTTTCCTTTTTTTTGTTCTTTTCTCGAGAAAACTAATTTCAAACACAACTTTGATATATATATCTAAATGAAATTCAATATCAAAATTGCATAAACAACAAATTTTTTTGAACGAGTACACGTGAACAGATGACAAATGAAAAGTACACATGAACGATGACGTGAACAATGACAATGAACGAGTCCCAGTGAGCGAGTGCACTCGAACAATACCCCCGAATAGTGCCAGATGAACAGGTGCGATGAACGAGTACCGCTTTTGAACCCTGCTTTGAATACCAAATGATGACACTCAAATAGAAGGGAAACAATTTAGGGTTAGGTTTTAAGAGTTGATTTGATTAGAAATAGAAATTTGATAAGCCAAGAAGAATCACCACAAGAATCGAATAATTCTTGATAAGATCAAGTGATGCAAGGAAGAACTCTAGCAGAGCAACAACTCACAAAGTAATCTGAATATTCCGTCCGTTCATTCTGAATTCCCAAATGTTTAATACAAGTTAAGTTTATGAGTTTGTCTCATTGTAGGAAATAAAGATAAATTAAAATCCTAATATCCCAAGCAAAGTTAAGTTACCCAGATGGTTCAGTGAAGGCATTATAAGCTTTGGGTCTTGGGTTCAAATCCCCACTATAGCAAATAAAATAATAATAATAAAAACTAAATCTTTTAGTTGGGCCTCCTAGCTCTCCAAACATTCTATGCATGTGATAGGTCTAGACTCCTCCATGTTTGGATCTTTTAATAGTTGGGCCTTTAGCAAATTGGTCACTTTGTATTGCAATGCGTCTTGTGCTTTTCTAAGTCTGTCTCTTGTCATAGGTCCACCTAAGTCTTGGATTGGATCTTGGTCTTGATCCTTCTCGTTATGGGCTTGGGCCTTTATGTCCACCTCAGATGCAGTCTGTTCAGGCTGGGAATTTTCACATTGCTTGAACTCGTCTCTGATTGAATGATCACAATTTTGCTATTGGCGCTGGATATAAACCATATTATTTGTTCAATGGGTTCTATGTTTCTTCGTGTAGTTCTCCTTTTTTGTTAGTTGGGGAAACCCTCTAAGTTTTGCCCCTCCTTTCCCAACCTTTGATTATGCTTCCATTTCTCTCCAAAATAAGGAGACTAAGATTAACATTTTGTGGTAGCTATTTTTTATGCATTATACATATAATTTGTCTTCTAACTCAAATGAATGAATAACTTCTATATGCAGCGTTTGGATAGGGGGTAGTATATTGGCATCTCTTGGCTCCTTCCAGCAAATGTGGTTCTCCAAATCCGAGTAATTATTCCCCATTCAGCAAATTGTGATTATACTAGTGCATTAATGTTAAATATATTTCACATTTTACTCTTTTATCATAAAGCAACGCCAAATTGGACTTCTTCCATTAAGGATAATAGGACACTGAATCGTTTTAATGAATTTCTGATAGGTATGAAGAGCATGGAGCTTCATATATCCAAAGGAAGTGTCCATGAGTTGCTGTTGTACAAGTTTATTTTACTGCCATTGGTTACATCGGTGACTTGAGGAAGTCCTGTGAACGCTGGAGTAGTGCTTGTCTACTAATGGATTTTTCTTTTCTATTGACTGGCCATTCCCATTAGATCCCATTCTAATTAAATTCTTGGCTTCAAGTTTGAATCATAGGTCCCCTATAACTAATTTGTAATGATGTAAAGTGTGCCTAGAGTCTGTAACATTACCCCATTTATCAAAATAGATTTATCTTCCGTTTACCTCCATTCTCTTTTTCCTTTTTGGTAAATGCGTATATTTTGTCTCGACTTGAACTTGTAGAATTGGATTCTAAAACCATCTTCAAAAAAATTACAGAAATTTCGAAAAGTCACCACTACAAGATATTTCACACAATCCATGTTAATAGGTGTGTTCAAGCAATGATAATTTTGAAATAATAAAATTGTTTCCCCAAGCAAAGATCATTGACTTTTTTTCATAAATAATACTGTTTTCAAAAATATTTACCCAAATAGCACCTCTGCAACTTTATTTACACAACTAGCACCGTTTACTGTTCATTTAATAAAATAATATTATTTTGCGCAACTGTTCACTGTATTAAAATAATATTATTTTGCGTACTGAACTCTCGCTCAAGCGAAGAAAACCTTCGCTTGGCGAGGAAACTGTAACAAAGGGGTAGTGCAGGGTAAATTCTCGCTCAAGCGAAGGTTTTCTCGCTTGAGCGAAAAGTATGATCGACTATTATCCCATTATAGTCGATCACTTTGACATATATGACTTTAGATAGCGGTTATTTGGCCAACCGCTATCTAAACTGCTACATTAGATAGCGGTTATTTGCCCAACCGCTATCTAATATAGTAGTTTAGATAGCGGTTGGCCAATAACCGCTATCTAAAGTGACTCAAGCGAAAATCACACCGCTTGAGCGAGGACACCTGGAAACAAGGGGACTCTCGGGTTACTGTTCGCTCGAGCGACGCGGACTTTCGCTCGAGCGACAAAGTGATTGAAATCTGTTTCAATCGATTATAACGTATTTCAATCGATTAAAATAACTTGGAAAAATTTTGTACAGAGCTTCAATCGATTAAAACGCGTTTCAACCGATTAATACAACTTCGAAAAAGTTTGTACAAAGTTTTAATCGATTAAAACTTCTTTTTATCGACTAAAATAACTTGGAAAGTTTTTATAAGAAAGTTTTGCGAGTATATCAATCGATTAAAACACGAAACAATCGATTGAATCAAACTTAGAAAAGTTTTGTAAAGTGTTTTAATTGATATAACCGTTGTAGTATCGACTAAAACAAATCTGTTAAAGAATCAAGAACGTATCAATGGATTGAAAGGACTTTTAGCAATTGAAGCGGCTATTTCAACATATTAAAACAAACTTTCAACAGATTAATTAATGCAGCGAGTTATGAAAATACTCTTTAAAATCAGTTTGCTTGAACTTTTTAAACATACATTGAATAAGATCTTCGTTTTATCAAATGATTCAATAAGATCTTCATCATTTTCAATTAATTGAAAAACTCCTAAGTTTCATACATTGAGACATTTCTTAACTAACACAATCTAATGATGCGAAGTAGATGCACATGCAAAGTTCTTATACGACTTGATTTTGGTCGGCCCTTTGAAGTTCTTTTCATTTCTGGATTTGCACACAAAGTAGGTCCTGTGTATGTTGGCCAATATTCTTCATTTCGCAATAACCCAAATTGTGTTCCGTATACCTTTGAAACTTGTTGTAAGGTATACACTGAATTAATATAGTTGTTGAAGTCATGGTGTGCATGCTTGCATGCAGCAAGAACATGTGAAAGTGATGCTAGCAAAGATGTCATTGATTTGATGAAGTCAAAGATAAAGTCAAAAGTCAACTCTGCAGCAGTCAACAAGTCACCCAGATAATTGAGCTGAAGATTTAGTGTGTCTTAACAGAAAGTTTCTGCTGCATAAAGTTTTTTCATCATTTTGCAAAATGCCTCAAAAATAGTTTTAAACAAATCAAAAACAAAAGCATTTTGACAAAGAACTTTCTTAATAATGTTTTTAACTGATATAGTTTTAAAAGAAACGATTAAAATCACTTAGAATGTTTAAAGAAGTGTTTTTACAGTATTTTAATCGATACAAACTTCTTTTAATCGATTAAAACCACTTTGGAAGTCAGGATGATCGATCAGAATGAAATTATGACCGATCAGAGGTGGTTATGATCGATCAGAATTGAATTATGACCGATCAGACCTATTTCAATCGATTAAAACGTATTTCAATCGATTAAAATAACTTGGAAAAACTTTGTACTGAGTTTCAATCGATTAAAACGCGTTTCATTAGATTAAAACAACTTAGAAAAATTACTGTGCATTTTTTTAATCGATTAAAACTTCTTTGTATCAATTAAAATAACTTGAAAAGTTTTATAAGAAAGTTTTAAAGTAAATCAATCGATTAAAACGCGAATCAATCGATTGAATCACTCTCGAGAAAATGTTTGTAAAATGTTTTAAGCTGATATAAACATGGTTGGAGGGTTGGTCTTTCCACCAACTAGACGTAAAATGCTGCCTTCTTAAATGGCTATTTGGAGGAGGAAATATATGTAACACAACCATTGGGATTCATAGTCAAAGGAGAAGAGCACAAGGTATACATGCATTGGAACTATTATGCATCGAGATGAAATACTCACGTGATATTCTTAGCAAGTTCGAGATGAAGAATTGCAATGCTTTGCGGTAAACTCCAACGGAAATGGGTCCGAGATTAGAAAGGGGCACGAGGAGGAAGATGTTGATCACACGAGTTTCGCGAGAATCATTGGAAGTCTAAGATACCTGTGTAACACCGGACCGTGGTAGCTCTCTCCTCCTGTCAGCGAGTATATAGGCTGCCTGCACGAGCTGCATGTCAAGCTGCATGGCTCGGGATCGTTGTTGAAGGAGCTGAATGCGGAATTGGTCCAACCACCAACATTGTTTGTTGATAATAAGTCCGCAATAGACTTAGCTAAACACCCATCGACTCATGGAAAAAGCAAACATATAGAAATGAGGTTTCATTTCTTGAAAGAGGTTTCATTTCTTGAGAGAGCGAGGTTAATGATAAGAAGCTTGAAATAGAACACTGCAGATACGAGAAGATCGAGTGCGAGATATCTTTACAAAGCCTTTGAAGGCTGCTAGATTTTGTAAACTCGAGAGTGTCCGAGAATTGTTCAGTTTTGACTTAAGTAGGCATGTTGAGATTTAAGTCAAAATGCATGATGGGTAGTTACGTGTATGGGTATTATGTGCATGGGGCATGCATTACGTGCATGGGTTTCTTTTAGTTTTTTTTTCGTTTTGTTCACGTTCTCTGTTCTACTCGTTATTTGTTATTTCTACCTGTATATAAACATTACAGTTTTCATACATCAATAAAAGGAATGTACTTCGGTTTCTATCGTAGCTCTCCCATTTCGGATATAACGAGAGTCCCCCTTGTTTCCAGGTGTCCTCGCTCAAGCGGTGTGATTTTCGCTTGAGTCACTTTAGATAGCGGTTATTTGTCCAACCGCTATCTAAACTACTATATTAGATAGCGGTTGGGAAAATAACCGCTATCTAATGTAGTAGTTTAGATAGCGGTTGGCCAAATAACCGCTATCTAAAGTCATATATGTCAAAGTGATCGACTATAATAGGATAATAGTCGATCATACTTTTCGCTCAAGCGATAAAACCTTCGCTTGAGCGAGAATTTACCCCAGACTACCCCTTTGTTACAGGTTTCCTCGCTCAAGCGAAGGTTTTCTTCGCTTGAGCGAGAGTTCAGTACGCGAAATAATATTATTTTAATACAGTGAACAGTGAACAGTTGCGCGAAATAATATTATTTTATTAAATGAACAGTAAACAGTGCTAGTTGTGTAAATAAAGGTGCAGAGGTGCTATTTGGGTAAATATTTTTGAAAACAGTATTATTTATGAAAAAAAGTCAAGATCATTTTGTATTTTGCGAGTTTCCATTTGTCAGCTCCGACGTGATTCCCCAGCCCAACATTATGAATTTGCTTGCTGACATTTATTTCTTGTGTCCTTCAACCTAAGTTTATGTTTTGTTCTACTCATCAATGTGATGTCAACAATGTTAGGCGACTCTAATAGTACCACCGGAAAATGTTTAAGCAGAATTTTGTTGTTATGTTTTAAAGTGAGCAATAAGAGAAATCTGATCAATTTTAATATGGAAGATGAAATATCATATGACATCATGTGATCATTATATCCTTTGTATTAAATAATTACTTTTATAACTGCAGTTAGTTTTTTTTTATTTTTACTAAGTCAATATGTGTTCCTAGATTTTAGGAACAACTTTGTTTTGTTATTCACATATCTTAAAATTTAGCTATGTGGTTTATTAGTTTTTTTTATTATTATAAATGTACTGTTGTTATAGTAAAAAAAAAAAAACTCATTCACATCAATTTTTAACCTACACAAAGTTTCACTATATGTTGATGATCTTTTAGTAACTGGAGATTACACAAAGTTGGTTGACGAATTCAAGCAAGAAATGATGCAAACATTTGAAATGACAGATCTTGGTCTCATGATGTATTTTCTTGGAATTGAGATCAAACAAGGTGAAAATGAAGTGTTCATTAGCCAAAGAAAATATGTAAAGGAAATATTGAAGAAATTTCAAATGGATGAATGTAAAACAGTTAGCACACCAATGAATCAGAGGGAGAAGTTCATCAAGGAAGATGGTGTTGATAAAGTTGATGAAGGACACTATAGGAGATTGATTGGATGTCTAATGTACCTCACTGCAATAAGACCAGATATTATATTTGCTGTAAGTCTCTTATCTCGATTTATGCATTGTGCTAGTGAAATGCATTTAAGAGCAACGACAAGAATATTGAGTTATGTGAAAGGCGCTCTTGATTATGGTGTCAAATTTGAAAAGTGTACAGATTT